ATATATATATATATATACCAATTTATGCAATTTACACAAAGGTTGTGTACACACACTTGGCTCTACTACACTGTCTTGTGATGTGAATCGGAAGCACATGTCTTCATTTTTGACTCTTTATTCTCCCCTTTTTTCTGGCCTGGGCACAGTGGACTTACCCCAGCACAGTCTGAATTCAATTACCTGGACACGGCACGAACGTTGGAACTTTATGGAGTGGAACTGCACTATGCAAGGGTAAGTGAGTCAGAGCTGCTGCTTTGTGTATCTGCACAGAAGCCTCTGTGCTACATATAAATATAATCAATGAAACATCAACGTTTCTGTATGGCTTTAGAAGACTATGATCACCATCTGTGCTTTCATTGTATGGGAAAGAGCAGTATTAACATTTTGCTGAGCATTTAAGTTATTTAGGCTTGGAACGAAAAAAAGACAAATCTTTCATTTAGAGTTTTTTGTTTTGGGTAGACTAACTCATTACACAGCACGGTTTCGAAGATGCTAAATGATCCTCATTAATAATTTCTCTTTTTCCCTCTGTTCTTGCTTTCAGGATCAAAGCAACACAGAGATTTTCATAGGCTTGATGTCAGCTGGCATTGCCATTTACAAGAACAGGGTACGAATCAACTACTTTCCATGGTAAGTGAAGCAGAATTTTTGACCAATCAGATTTTGTAGTGGGCTACACTGCATGAAGCATCGGAAATAAAAGCCAGGCAACCAACAAACTGTCCTATCGCTTGTTGTGGCTGCAGAGATTTATATGGAAGTGAGAGCTTCCATTACTTTGTGGAAGGATTTTTTTTATTATTATTACTAATTTTTTGTTATTGATGTTTATTTACTGAACATTGGTTTTAATATTGCTGTTAATTATTTTTTTAAGGTTTAAGTTTTGCATTTAAACAGATTTTTTTTTGAAGATGTATTTATATCAACAATTTTTACCAGTTGCTCTAAATTGGTCTAATACTAACTACCATCTGTGCATTTAAACAGCTTTTATATATTTATTATTATTTTTTTTTTTTTTTTATAAGTAAGCAAACTAAATTCCACTCTTATGAAGCTAAAATACATCATGGGGGTTCTAAATGTTCAGGCATTTTTGTTTGCACTCATTTCAAATTGTGCAGAATACTAAATGATCCAATGTAAATGTAAAGAGCGGCACCCAAATCTTCATCAGGCAAAGCTTTATTCCCCCTCCACCACCAGGCTGTTTTTCTGGCACACAAGCCAATCTGCTTCTGTAACTGTAGTCCAAGCATCTCCCTTTTGAAATACACGCACAGATGCTTTCCAGGCAAACTATGTTTAGCCCAGAAGAGAACAGGGGCTGTTTGCCATAGATGTCAACTAACCTCTCAGTGCAAACGGTTGCACTTATTGATTATTTTATCACCCCTGCAGTTCAAAGATGCAAGTGACTGTTAAAAAAAGCGTATATATCATACTATGCCGACTAAAATAGAAAATAGGTGGAAGCCAATGAAGGATGTTCTTTAAAGACAATTGAGGTTCAGTTTGACCTGCCTGGGTCATTGACTGTTTGTGAGTTGTGTGTTGTGCTGGGATTGTGTGACAGAATGTATCTAAGGTGGTTGAGGCTGCTCCAGCATGTGTTTATTCAGACATTTGAGTGTGTGTGTGTGTGTTGTGTAGAATATATTTAGCTTCAGTATGAGTCATATTTTAATAGGAGTGAGGCTTAGAGACACACAAAGGGCCGTGAAATGGGTTAGTGAATTTTAACAGCTCAGAATATGTGTTTGTTGCTGCCCTTGAAAATGCCAACATTTTTTTTTCTTCTATTTTAGGTTGAAGATTGTAAAAATATCTTTTAAATGCAAACAGTTTTTCATCCAGCTGAGAAAAGAGGCGGTAAGTGGTACACTTTTTTTTTTCATACTGTCATCAGTAAGGCAAGGCAACATAAAACAGCATCCAGAACACATTTAACTTTGGCCATGTAATGTATTACTGAGAAAAATAGCAAACATTGTTTGCAAAGGCATTGCCAGCTACCTCACAATATGATGCATATTGCAAAACAAATGTCACAATTCACAATGTGTCACAATATCATAATTATGCTGTGATTGAAAATGTAGGGCATGATATTCAGTTATAATATAAAGGTGACCAAGCTTTTTCAGTGGTGGCACCTAATTTGTGGGATAGTTTACCTGTACACATAAGAACTGCTCAGACTGTTGGAATTTTTAAGTAATTACTTAAGACACCTGTATTCCTTGGCTTTTATTTCGAGCTGAGCTGAGACATTGTGATATTTATTTATTTATTTATTTATTTTTAACTGCATTTGTCTTGTTTGTGTGTGTGTTTTTCCGGACATTGTTAAGCACTTTGGTCAACCATGGTTCTTTTTAAATGTGCTATATAAATAAAATCGAACTGAGCTGAACTGATATGGGTTCACACATAGTTAAATTATTAAATAAATATTAATGTATTAAAATTATAATATTAAAACTGTATACATTATATGATTTTTTTGTGATGTGTGGCAGCACATATGTGTGTATATGTGTGCATCCATATTGTTTCCATCTTACTGATTACAATGTGTAAAATCATAAATTGACCCCAACAGACATTATCACTCCCATTTACAAACTGCAGGGAGCAGTAACCTCTATTAATAAACCATCTTCCTCAGGCAATATCAAATTAAAGAGCATATTGGCTCCCATAGCACCACTGATCTTTGTTTATTTGAAATCCCTCTGTAATTACCGCCCTGCTGTCAGTGATGATGTGGAGAGAGATAGACACTCTTTACAGCTTATTAATTATGGAGAGTAGACGATGCATTTTGCATGTGGGGGAGCGGGATGAGACCTGACATTAGAGTCGCGCTGATTGCTGAGACACGACGAGAACCTGTGTGCCTAAACCGGGTCTCCACAGCGCCACAGACCCTCTGCTGGAGACCTCAAAACACCCCGGCGGTGTGAATAATGCACAGGGGCCTTTCAGAAGCAGTTGTACTAAAAGCAGAACTCGATGTCATGGTCCATAATTGATGCCCAGATGGGACAGCTTGGCTGAGTGGGTACGATTTCCTTGGACCTTGGTCGCAGAACCAAAAACAGTCTGGGAAGTGCATTTACCCCCCTCTGGAGTCCCCAGTGACCAATGGAGTCTCGCAGATTGGAGTGTCAGTCCTAATAGGTCTCTCTAGAGCAGAGCTTTCTGGGTACTTTGGCCAGGTTTCAAATGGAGGTCCATGTTTGCGACGGCATAACATTCAGAGCAGGGAATGTAAATGTCTCCAGCATCTCCTGTGTTTTTATGTTAAGCGTGCAGAATGCTTGATTTAATAGCCTTAAGATCCTTTCTTCCTTTTTGCCTACAGCATGAGACGAGAGATACATTGCTCGGTTTCAACATGGTAAACTACAGGGCCTGTAAGAACCTCTGGAAGGCCTGTGTTGAAAACCACACCTTCTTTCGGCTAGATCGGCCCGTTGCTCTGCAGAAGAACTTCTTTGCACACTATTTCAGTTTGGGCTCCAGGTTCCGATACTGGTAAGACGGTCCTCCAGTGTTCCTACAGACACATCCTTTTTTAAATGGGCCCAAATGTGGTGCATGTACAGTAGTTTGAAGATGTGCAGCTTGTTGTTCTAAATTGCCATCAGTAAAGTTTTTTTTTTTTTTTTGTCTACTTGCCCAGTCAGGCTATTAGTTCATACAGCCCTACCAACTTTTTCATTTCCCTATGCATACTACATTATGTATTTTAAAATTGGTATAATTTTTTAAACGTATTTTTTAATGTTTAAATTTAATATTAAAAACTAATTTTTTAAATACATGTTAAGTTAATTTACAAATAAAATTTGCAATGGAAAAAAAATATATAATTATTTTGGAAACTAAGTCAGCAGATTATTCTTGTGTTGACCGCTTGTTATGCAGAACAGTGTAAAAGTTGTTTTTACAATTTCCAAAATGTTAATTTTGTGTTGCATTTACATTTTATTTTTCTGAGCATAACTTCATAGAATTTTAGTTCAGTCTTGTCATCTGCAATAGTCGCTTATGTGCTGAGGGAGGCCACAGTCATCAAAATGCTTGACCTTAGTCGACACTAACAAATACTCTAGTAAATCCTGGGGATAAACTTTTGAAAAATTTATGATGCTCTTTTAGCCAATTTTAGATATATGGAACTAGGAAGAGGAGGTGATGAATAATTAATCTTGCGATGCTTTCTAGATTTATAAGCATTTATTGGTAGTCACTATAGTATATAAAACATATTTGAACTCTGTAGCTTTGAGCACTAAGAGCTTTGAATGTCACATTATATGTTGTGAAATTGAGAAATATGGTTTGAATCCTGACAAACATTACACATCTCTTCACAGTGGGAGGACGGAAGCACAATCTGTTCAGTATGGCAAGGAGAAGGGAATCAAGGACAGAGTGTTTGCAAGGTAATGTTTGCTTGTACTTCAGGGATTTTGTGTTGGTGACTGGTTATGATACGATTCTTCAGTTAATGATCATTAGCATATTAATTTGTGAACTTTCTTAAAAAATAAACTACCAGCTGGTGAGGAGGAGTAACTTGGATCAGGAGGTGAACATTCGCAGAATCTTTACATGAAGCTTTAAGAGTCATGTTGAGATCAAAGTCCTTTTCAAGCAAGTCAGTTGACTCGGTGGTCACCGTTTTAGTAACACCCACAGGTAGATATTTCTAGTCATTGTAAGGGAAACAGGTCAATTTAGCTCAAAGGGAATCATTTAAGATTTTAAAGGGAACTCCACCAATAATATGTAAGGGAATTTGGACAGAATCACTGTTTTACGGCTGATCACTGAGACGGCCAGCGATTCAGTGAACGAGCCGTATGACATCATAAAGTACAGCTCCTATCTACTAGAACTATTCAAAACTGTTTGTCAAGCTTACGTTTTAGTAATGTATATTAAATCACTTCTGAAAACAGTGTAATCCAAGGAATTTTTTTTAGTTCAAATCAGGCAATTATAATGCTATACTACCATCCAGAAATTTTGATTTCAATTATTTTTTTTTTTTTTAAAGAAATCTCTTATGCTCACAAAGGCTGTAAGAAGTAATAGCAGTAATACTGTGAAATATTATTATTATAAGAAAACTGTTTTCTATTTTAAAATACTTTAAAATGTAATTTATTCCTGTGAAAAGCTGAATTTTCAGCATCATTACTCCAGTCTTCAGTGTCACATGATCCTTCAGAAATCATTCTAATATGCTGCTTTGCTGCTCAGGAATCTTATGAATGTTGAAAACAGTCATACCGCTTAGTATTTTTGTGGAACCATTGTCTTCAGGATTCTTTGATGAATAGGAAGTTCAAAAGAACAGCATTTATTTGAAATAGAAATTGTTACATGGATATGCATATGCAATTGTTACATAAAAATATACATGCATGTCTTTACTGTCACTTTTGATCAATTCAATGCATCCTTGATGAATAAACAAATTTCTTAAAAAAATAAACAATCCAATCATATTGGACATTTTTCAATGAAATCCATTACTTGGACAAAATCTTTGACAATGACTTATTTTTCTTATAACAGAAAAAATATGACAGGACTCTTGCCATACAGTGGAAAGAGATTTCTCACTAGAGGTTACTGTGTCAACATGTACTGAACTCCTGCAATTAAACATTTAAAATATAAATAAAACATTGTAAAAAATAGTTTGAAGAACATAAAGGTAAAATGATAAACTCAGATTTCTGTTTCAAAATGAAACTGATTTCTTATAATGGTGAAATCAGTATTAAAACTTTACATTTTAAAGGATCAGTTGGTGAAATATTATCTGACTTAATTATCAAGTTTCAGAAGAACAAAAGAGATGTATTTTAACACACTTATGGTGTCCACTGGATATGAGCACGGTTGCTCAGTGGAATAATAACTTGGTGTTAAACCATTAGACAGTTAACGCTTAGAAGTGACCGTAGCCTTTGGCTCTACTAGGGTATTGTGGAGATTAACAGAATGGGTTTCCTCTTTTAGATCTCCCAGCAAACCCCTGGGCAGAAAGTTGATGGGTGTGACAGACTGGGAATCAGTGAGCAGGAACTCACTGTCTGAAGAGAGGCTGGAGACCCGTAGCCTGCCTACCCGCTCACCCCCTGGGACGCCCAACCAGTGAGTTCATCTCTGTTTTAGTGAAACACCCAATCTAATGAGCAAAGACCCGGTAGGGTGCTTGGGGGTGATGGGGAAAAAGACACGTGTAAGCTGTATGTAAGTGAATTTCATGATTATATGTCTGTCATGTTTCACTCAAAAATGCAAAGAGAAAGAATAAGAAACTATATTTTGCAAAAAGAAAATGAAGTAAAAATTAAGGTTTTTTTGTTTTGTTTTTTTGGCATTTTCATATTTTCACAACAATTAAGCAATTTTTTTGCCCAAATTTTAATTAGTGTAATGTTTCTTTGTTCCTTTCTTTCTCCCCCATTGTTACTAGTAATGATTGTCATTAGATTTCTACTATAATACTACTGTACTGTACTGTACTATAATATAGTATTGTTTTTAAAAATACTGTAATACAGTTTTTTTGTCATTTAAATCAGCAGAAAGGTGCTACAATTAATGCATTTTTCTTGCATTACAGTAATGAGAATATTACATGCAAATTTTTAATGGTACTAAAAAGGCTTAATTTCCAAAAGCAAAATATACTATAATTTCTTCTTCTTCTTCTTCTTCTTCTTCTTCCTCTTCCTCCCTTTTATTTAGGGGAGAAGTATGACCTAGACACATTCTTGACAGGTTTTGTGAGTTTTACCATCCAGGAAGTCAGGGAGTCACTCTCTGTGTCAAAGATTCAGAAACAGACTTCCGCATTACTAGTAAACAGAGGGAGTTTTCAGGAAGAGAGAGACTGGATTGTAAAATGAATAAGTAGGGTTAGTGTTAGTGTTAACACCTAGTTTGATGCGTTACATCATACCATAATGTACTATAATGTATAACGGCCAGTCACAATCATCACTTTTGTACTGAAGATAAATTGGCACGATTTAATCCTAAAGGATATAATATAATATAATATAATATAATATAATATAATATAATATAATGCCTTAAATGTTTTTTTTTATTATTCTATATTCTTTACTCCCTTATGACTTAAACTCTTACTTTTTTTTCATCCTCATTTGAATGGGAAAATGTGAGTGATATTTAAACTGCATAGTTATCACTGTTATCTCAAATAATTTTGATGAGATCAAATAACCATGATCAGGCAAGTAATCAATAATTGAGACATGCCTAATACATTGTCCTCTTTACAGTAACTTTGTATGTTACTGTGCAAAACTTATTTGCTTTAATAGCTAAGAACACCTAGTATCCCTCCAGCCAAAGGATTTGTACTTATTCATAAACATATTGGTGAAAAGGATTACAGCAACTATACATATTCTTTATACATTAGGAACTCCTTATTTGTGCAAGAGGGTCCTCGGCTACGGCCCTCTTCCATGGGTCACCTGGTGGAAAATGTCATCCATGCCTCCCCCAGCCTTCCTCTTTTCTCCAATCACAAATCAGCTTCCTCTACACAAGCTAATAGCATCAGCCTGGAGTCTACACCGTAAGTACTTCCTTTTCTTCAATAGCAAAAAAGTCCATCCTCAAGAATTAGTTTCAGTAATGCTTTATTATTATTGATAGTGCTTCCTAAGGTTGCTTCTGTGTTCAAACTTCTTTAAAAAAACACCCACAATACCCCAGCATCCACATAGCAACATGTGGATTATGCCTTTTAAGGAAAAGACTGTCCAGATGTCATAGTCAGATGTATGAAATATTGATATTTTTATCCAAAGTAATTTCAGTGACATTTTCAACTTTCAGTTTCTTAAATCCCAAAAAGTGTCTTTAAAAATAGAATAACCCAGGAAACCAACTCTTTTTAGCAGACGTTTGGTATACTTTTTTTATTTTTTATTAATGCACTTTATAATGCATTTCAATTCTTGACTGTTTGCTTATTCATACTGCAGTGCCACTCTAACTTATTGAAACAGTAAATCATTTCAGTTATTATAAAACACTATTTGCAGAAGCCACATAATTTAGTGTAAAAAACAGAAGCTCAAGTCTGTTCCTCAAATGGGTTTTTTTAAAAGTGATTTTACTGCACCAAAACCATGTTTTATTGGCTGTTTATTTTGTCTCAGCCTTCCAATCACAGTTACCACCCTCTGTCTGCGCCCTTAAATGGCCCCGAATGGAAACTAAACGTACACTGCGCAGCTGTGAAACATGTTTACCACTCTCATAGCGTTGGGCAGAGAGCTTTGGATTTTAACAGTTGCATGTTAAACATGTCAAGCTCTTTGTGATCGTCTTGAATAGGTCTGCAGTATACTTAAGCCTAATGACATTGCCAGTGGCAGATAGGCTGTTTGTATGGCGTGTGGTTGTTTTGACTTTGTTTGCAGAGCTGGTTTAATGATATATAACAGCTCATCCCCCTTTCCTTTGTTTCACATGGTGTCCTTAAAAAGTCTTAAATAACGTTTTCCTAATAAAAGGCCTTAAAAAGTCTTAAAATGTCTTAAATTCAGATTCGATGGGTCTTAAATATTTTTGGTCACATTACCGCTAAAATATCTTAAGTCTGACGGACCAAATGACTGTTTACAATCATTGGACAGATTGAAGTTTTTTTTTTTTCTCCCCCGCGGTAAGTTACTGCATCATCAGAGAGAATCGCAGTAGCAGAATACAGGTGAACCTTCTACTACTTCTACTACCTTCTTAATGTTCTCAATAATAACAATAATAATAATATAGGTCGAGCTACAGCTGATCATCCTTCTAGCTAGTTTCAAATGTTTTTTTTTTTTTTTTACTTGCCCGACCGGACAAATAGCCTGACATAAGTGACAAATAAATCAATAAATAAATATCCAGCAAAGCATCGAAACACACTGAGGTAAAAATTCAAAATGTTTAGTTTATTCATAAAATTATATAGTTAAGTAACATACAACGACAAGTGAGCTATTTTGCTGAATATTCTCACGACGCAAAAAAAACATTCAAAACACCTAACGTACAGAGTGTACGCATTACGTGAAGTCTAGTGCGTGTGCGCATTTACAGTGTGCTCTTTCACGGCATGATTAAGTCTATTAAAATACATTGAGAATGATCACAAATTCAAGACGGGGGCAGAAAATGTATATATTTATACCACTTCATATAGTTAATCAATTTCACATGAAGAGTCCGTTTTTTCTCCAAAAATTACTATGATTACAAATGTGATATAGATTTTTTTTACAACAGTTCAATAAACAAGAAGTTAATTAAGAGACTTACGTTTTAGACACCATATTGCCTGTTTTTGCACTATTTCGACAACAAAAATAATTTCAAACAAAGCCACAGCGCTGTTTGTTGTTTCGTTCCTGAATGAATCAAACATTTAAATAATCCGGTTCAATCGCAATGACTCACTTATTAACAGTGACTTGCTGCCACCTACTGGCGGTTTTAATTTCACATTTAAAGTACCTTTTTATTATTTAAATAATTTCAAATATCAGGATTCAACGTTTTATGTTTAATATATCAAAACATTATTTATGCATTTGTAAAAATATGCCTTTGTAAAGGCAAATAAAAATATGCAGATTTAAGTATGTAAAATCTGATAGAACACTGATGAAAATATTGCTTCAGAATAAATTGTTTGCACCACCAAAAATCTTGGTAATGCGGTGCTTTTGTTGGGGATATTTTGCATGGAATATTGTCTTCTGATATGAAAAGTTCACTATATATCTTAAATATAATTTATTACAGTGATATTTTGTTTTCTTTTTACGTTAAACACATTAAATATTACATATATGTATGTAATATAATGTGTGTTTCCATTACAGGTTTAGGTCTTAAATTTCATATAAGGTGGTATTAAAAAGTCTTAAAAAGTCTTAAATTTAACTTGTTCATGTCTGTAGAAACCCTGGTTTCAGTCTTTACGCTGTTGTAGAAATTACCTGTTTACAGTGGGTGGTGTCACCACATAACCTGTCTGATTATATGTATGTAATATAATGTGTGTTTCCATTACAGGTTTAGGTCTTAAATTTCATATAAGGTGGTATTAAAAAGTCTTAAAAAGTCTTAAATTTAACTTGTTCATGTCTGTAGAAACCCTGGTTTCAGTCTTTACGCTGTTGTAGAAATTACCTGTTTACAGTGGGTGGTGTCACCACATAACCTGTCTGATAATGGGTGTGTGGCAAAAAACAACAACAACTTATCATTAATAGATTGCTTAAAATAAGTCGGATGTAACTGGTCAGAGTAATTTGACAACACCTGCAGTGTCAGTCACAAAATAGTTTAAATGGATAGTTCACTTAAAAATGGAAATTCAGTCATTATTTACTCACTCTGATGTCATTCCAAACCCCTATGCATTTCTTTCTTCTGCAGAACACAAAAAAATAAGAATGTTGATAACCAGCCAGTTTCAGTTCCCTTTGACTTTCATTGTATTTTTTTCCATATAAACGAAACGGTTTGGTTGTCAACATTCTTTAAAATATCTTCTTGTCTGTTAGACAGAACAAAAAGTCATACAGGTTTGGAACAACATGAGGGTGAGTAAATGATAACTGAATTTTCATTTTTGGGTGAATGTGGTTTAAGATTTTTATTAAGAGTTTGGTGGTTCATTTGTGTGCATTTTTAGAAAGTCTGGTGTTAGAATGTGACGTGATTATAGAATACATTATTTTAGAAGGTATTTACTGCTGCCAGTTAAATTTCTACATTTTTATAATGCTTGCAGTTTATTCATTCATACAAATGTTTCTGTGTGTTTAAAATGTCTAAAGTTTCTAAAAATGCAAAATAGCATAACACCATGTCCTAACCAGCCACAGCTGCAATATGTAATTGTCAGTTGCTTTGTTTCTAATTCTTTGGCATTGCTGAGCTACCTGTATTCATATACTACAAATGTTGTTGTCTGTGTGATGAATTGCTTATGTTCTCTATTGTAATTTGATTTGGATAAAAGTATCTGTTAAATGCATACATGTAAATTGCTCTGGGTAGCCCTGCCCACAGTGAAATCTCATTAGTCCAACATCTGGTTCCAAATGTGTCAGATACAGTGGGTACGGAAAGTATTCAGACCCCCTTAAATTTTTCACTCTGTTATATTGCAGCCATTTTATCATCAGATATGTGTTAGGACAATGTGTGAAATCAATTTTCTTCATAACAAAGTTTGAGCATGAGTAATCACAGAAAATTGAAATGTAAAATAAACAGAAGAGGTGAGAGAAAAACAGTAGTAGACACTTGGCATATCTTAGGGTCTGTGTCAGAGATGTTTATGGTATTAACGGTATACTATATGTGCCATCATTGTCATGCTTTGATTTGCTTTGTTTAATTATATATCATTTAGAGGAACCGAGTATGCATGCCTATTTCCTAACACACAGATGTATGCATAGCTTATGATTCATAATGCTTTCTCTTCTGCTCTATCTTCCTGCACACCTAAAGAATAGACCAACATACATACATGTGTTTGTACGTACACACACACACACACACACACACACACACAGCATATGCTTGTTTGTGTCTGTCACAGATCTAAATAAAGAAATAAACACCTGGTGCCCAAACTCAGAACCTGAAAGGACTTGCAGAATTCTGGTTTTGCAGTGTTTGTGAGTCTTTTTGACCGATTCATAAAAAAAATCAGCTCATAAGAATCATTTGTTTCAGAATCGGACTACATTGGTCGTGTTGTATGTCCCTGCTATCCGTAGATTAACAGACACTTGCTCTGTGACCTTTGACCTGCTCAGGAGCTCTGTTATAGGCATGATGTGTTCAGTTTGGGTCAGAGCGGTCACTTTCTGACACCATGCTGGGGTGAGAACACGACTTGAAATGAACACAAAAGCCAAATGGGGTCAGTGGGAGCCAACGCACACCCTTACGCCCTATATACAAACACACAGTCAGATACTCGTGACCCTACGTGGTGTAGTGTTCATTGGAAGTGTGTCCAGTTGTGAAAGCTAAAACACAGTGTGTCACATAATTCAGTGGTTCACTGGGTTGTCACAGTATAATGTTTTCAACTGAATGAAATGTATTGAGCTGAATTGTGCTGAACTGTCATTCATGTGTTGGATGAAAATTATGGTATTGGAGCCCTTTTATTAAAGGGATATTTCACCCTGAATGGAAAATTGACACGATTTACTTATGCTCATGTCGATCCAAACATGTTTGACTCTCTTTTTATCTGTGAAACACAAAATGAGATGTTTTGAAGTATGGTTTTGCTGCTCTTTCATTTATATATGTTTTTAAATTTCTTCCTTAATTTAATAGGTCTCCGGAAGGAGTTGAAGGCCCGCCCCCTGCCCTCCCACCCAAACAGTCCAGGAAGAACCTGAGCCAGCTTATACTGTCCCACTCCCAACAGGACTTGGACAACCACATCAATCAAATGTACAATATCCCCATAGCAACAGACAAGGCCACGGTAAGAATACATCAACTGACTCGCTCAACCCAGATTGTCTGTGTGCTACTTTGTTGTTCCTCTCTCCAAAGTTGGCATTAATAGTCCTGCGTCCCTCCCTTCTATGGTACACCGCTGATGTGGTTGCACTTTCAAAAAGTAATAAAGCTCTTGGTGGTTTGGCGCATACAGTTTATTACACATAAATCATTTTCACTGCCTTAGTGTGTTAATATTTTTTATATTTTTATGTTCACATAACAAAAACATAAAAAATTAAGGATGACCATAAAAGATTACATTTCATTTAAATTAGGGGTGAAAAAGCTAAGTTGTCTTCTGAAGCTGTTCAAAAATGTGAATTGTTGGAAATTGTTTAAAGGGATAGTTTACCCAAAAATGAAAATCACCCCATGATTTACTCACCCTCAAGTCATCCTAGGTGTATATGACTTTCTTCTTTCAGATAAATCCAATTGGAATTTCCAAGCTTTAGAATGGCAGTGAATGGGTGTTATTTTTCAACAGTCCAATAAAGTGCATCCATCCATCATAAAAAGTGTCCCACACGGCTCCATCCTACATCATCCGCTTTTCCCTAAAAACAACCGCCGCACATTATCCGAACATTAAGCATTAACTGATAAGATTACAATATTAAATTAGTATTAAATAAATAATCGAATGGATGAGTGTCTGTGACCCTTTAAAAATACACACACACACACACACACACACACATATATATATATATATATATATAATTATTTTTTTTATTATTTATTTATTTATTTTAACATATGCAAACAGCAGGATACAGAACAACAGATCAACAACAGAACCAGAATTCACACATATCTGAATTATCATGCACCTGCTGCGCTTCTGAGAACAAAGAAAAACAGAATAAAATACTATAAATAAAAAGAATAAAATAAATTGGCCAAAATATTTTCCACTTAAATAATTAACAAATTAAGATGACAAAATGAAAACACACACGGAAACCTTTGATGCACTTTGAAGAACCGCATGTTTTCGTCAGGCATAAAAATAAATAGCAGGTCTAACTCAGTGCACAACTTGTGTAGTTTTTATTTTTTTTAAATCAACGTGTCGACGTGCTGTGGGGGCATAGTCTGGAGCGCAGCCTGTTCCATGACAGAAAACACAGGTTTCTTGTAGCCAATCACCGACATTAACGCAATGGCCAATCAGAGGTGTTTACGTTAGAATCCACTCACCGTTCATAAGACTGGACTTCTGCTCAGTGTTTCTGAGTTGTGCACGCTCGCGAATCCTCTCATTAGAACAAACAAAATGTACACACTATGTAAATAAGAGATTAATTGTGCAGTAGTGTAGAGTTTCATTGAATATACCGGAACTTTGTGAGATCGCGAAGAACTGAGATGAGTGACAGCTTTTTAATGATTATAAGGGGGAGCGCTATTTGCGCGCTTTCTAGGCTATAACCCATTCAGAATTTGAATACATTCACCCACGGATTCACTCTCTGATAATCATTTATCCAAGATTGCCTTTTTCCATTGTGTTGCCTTTACTACTTCAGTTAAGTGAACGTGGAGCAGGTGATTGCGCAGCGAAATATGTAGGCACGTGTGGTTGCACGTATCGACACGCCCCCGTGAGTTAACAAATATGAATAGAATATTTTTTCTTTAACAATGCAGCAAACTTAAAAAAAAAAAGGGAAAAAATACTTTTAAAACCTTTCAAACTGTTTAACTGATAGTATTAATCGGTCAAAGTACTTACTTTAGGTTAACAGTTAAACGGTCAATATGAGCTTCCTACCTAGGATGCCTTGAGGGTAAATCATGGGGTAATTTTCATTTTTGGGTGAACTGTCCCTTTAATTTCCATTGATAAGAGTTTTAGATTTTGGGGGGGCATAATGGCCTTAAAAGGATAATTCACTCAAAAATGAAAATTCTGTCATTTTCTGTCGTACTCACCTGTAAGTTGTTCCAAACCTCTAAGTTTCTTTCTTCTGTTTAACATAAAATATATTTTGTAGAAAGTGGGTATCCAAACAGTTGTTTGACTTCCGTAGTATGGAAAAAAAAAATACAATGGAAGTCAATGGGGACCAGAAACTGGTTACCCACATTCTTCAAAATATCTTCTTTTGTGTTAAGCAGAAAAAAAGAAACTCATACAGGTTTGGAACAACTTGAGGATGAGTAAATAATGACAGAATAAAAATTTTTGGGTGAACTATCCCTTTAAGTAGCTTCACCTGATCTCTGAAGGTTTACATGTCAGTGTGCAAATAAAACTAGGAAGATCTTAAACAATGACTTGAAACATGTTTGAACAGACAGTCAGAAATGTATGAAGGTGCCAAGTCATACACTGCTTTAAATGCAAAATTCAATGCAGATTAGCTAAAACCATTGAAATGTGCTGTTTTAAATGGTTAAAATTAGAACAGAGAAATTGACATGCAAATGTTGACATTATTGTAATTTTTTTTTCTCACATGTTTAGCCCAACGGAGTCATTCCTCATGACAATCTTGTCCTGATCAAGATGAAACCGGATGAGAATGGGAGATTTGGGTTTAACGTGAAGGTAAAATGCTCTGCATCTCTCATTTTCTGTGACTGATTGTTGAAGATTTAATGATTCCATACATAGCCTTTATGAAATCACCTCTCTCTCTCCTTTTTAGGGCGGCTCTGATCAGAAGATGCCCATTATCGTGTCTCGAGTAGCGCCTGGAACATCGGTATGTTTAATAGGCTGTTTATTGTCATAAATACTGTGGTATTGCCTTTTATAGGGCAGCTGGGATTATAGTTGAAGACAATAAAAACTGATTCATTAAAGAGTGACCCCTATAGGATTAGCAGTGAACTGTCCTGTATGCCTGTATTGAAGGATTTATGCTGCTTTCCGTTCAAATTGGATATGGGTTGGATTTTCCTACTTGATATTTCTTAATTGATTTAAGAATATTCAAAATAATGCATTGAAACCTAATTTGTCATCTAATGGCAAGTACTTTGAATTTCGTCATCTTCTATGTGTGTCTTCTCTCTAGGCTGATTTGTGTGTGCCTCGGCTGAATGAGGGCGATCAGGTTGTGCTGATCAACGGTCGAGATATTGCAGAGCACACGCATGATCAGGTGGTCATGTTCATCAAGGCCAGCTGTGAGAGCCACTCGGGGGAGCTCATCCTGTTGGTGCGACCCAATGGTGAGTACTGGTCTGATTCATTCACTAGTCTTTGATGCCTTCAAGTCATGTAGAAATAACTACAATACCATTCAAAATTTGGGGTTGTATGACTTTTTAAATGTTTTTGAAAGAAGTCTCTGATGCTCACCAATGCTGCACTATTTTGTAAAAAAAAACACATAAAAACAGTAATATTGTGAAATTGTATTAAAATTATTGCTCTGGTGTAACATAATCCTTTAGAAATAATTCTAATATGCTAATTTGGAAACAATTCTTATTATTATCAGTGTTGACTTTATCAAAGTCTTTACTGTCACATCAATTTATCCTAGCTGAATAAAAGTATTAATTTCTTAAAACATTTGAATGGTAGTGTATTTTTACAATATAAGTTCAAATGAACACCATTAAAATTAAGTAAATACTAGGGATATCTAGGTATTTACACTAAAATCTTTTTTAGCTGGGATGTGCTGATTACATAATCATTTTATTAAGACCAAAATCACTTTAAATGCACACATTATAATTAACATTTCCAAACTTAAGAATAAAGGTAGCATTTGATTTAATTTATTCACTTTTTATGGCTCGTTGGAGTAAAATTTCCAGTTCTGTGGATTTATCAGACATTTATACTCTCCGTGCGTAGCTATCTACGATGTAGTTGAGGAGAAACTGGAGACAGAGCCAGATTTTCAGTACATCCCAGAGAAATCTCCCACAGACCCATCACAGCTGGACCAGGATGCCTGGAGGGACTCAATGCTGCAGTTAAAGGAGGGTCTCAACAGTGCTACTATGCTGGCCCAGTTTGATGTGAGTTAACAAACTGATTCTGGAACAAATCAAAAGTTTTTACTCCATAAATGATTACAAATAGTGAGCACCATGATCATTTGTCTTTTGTTCTCCTTGGTAAAAGAGCGGTTCAAGTTCATATTTAATTGTTTATCTAAATTGCTCATTTACAGCATGCTCTGAAATCCACAGCAATCAGGGTTGTTCAGGATGTGGTCATATCAAAAGAACTTCCTATTACTTCCTGTCTTTCATCTGGCAGCCCTAATATCTTCCTTTTAGTGCATCTAGGGCTTGTGTTTGTGAATATGTTGTTCAAAATGTGCAATATATGACTCAAGGAGACATGTTCCTATATAAAACTTGTCAACAAACCACCGTAGAATGCAAGATACTAGTTCTACAGTGCAGAAATATACATTATTTATGCGTTGAAAATGCCTCCCTGCTATGAAGTATTCAGTTTTGGTTAGATTTACTGTCAAATAAGATTTGATATATGTTGTATTTGCATATAGTGAATTTATGTGGGCATACATGCATTTACACACAAATCACCAGGTGGAATGTCCTTGAAATGATCCATTATTGAAATGCACGAATTTGAGGAGTAAGGGGCCAATTCACACAGAATGCGTTTTTGCATTCCACTGCCTTTCCGTTAATTTTCTATAGATGGATGTGTTTGACTGTTGCACTGGCATCTTTTGCAGCATCTTATGCATGACACAACATTCTAAAAATCAAGGTAAAAGAAAAATTATGTCTCTAGAACTTTTTTACATTTTACTACTTAAAGTCTCAGATTTTTAAACACAAAAATGCGTTCTGCGAGAATTGTCCCGTATACAAATCATAATTCAGACACAATCCGACCAGATTTCTCCGTTTTGTGAGGGAAATTCATGTATGAAATTCATAAAAGTTAAATAAAAAGGAAGGAAGGAATATTGAAAGGAAGGTTTGAATACTTAAAAGATGTGTGTCTGTTAATGAGTTTTCATTCATTGGGATTTTTGTAGACTGACTGACTTCGTTTTATTTTAAAGCAACTGTATCGGAAAAGGCCTGGAATGACAATGTCATGTGCCAAATTACCTCAGAATCTTTCCAAAAACCGCTACAGAGACATCTCACCTTGTGAGTATTGCTGCATGCCATTGCTTTTTATTAACAACCAGTGGAAGTGATAAAACATGAAACGGTTTGTTGTTTTCTTGTCAGATGATGCAACTAGGGTCATCTTGAAAGGCACAGATGACTACATCAATGCAAATTACATCAATGTAAGTGACTCATAATTATTTTATTATCTCCACCAAACTCAAACACGCAAGGAATGATGGATTGTGATTAATAGCCCCTCGTAATGTTGTTTTGTCATGTTTGCAGATGGAAATTCCTGCCTCCAGTCTCATAAACCGCTATATCGCCTGCCAGGGGCCGCTGCCCAATACGTGCCCGGATTTCTGGCAGATGACGTGGGAGCAGGGCTCCTCTTTGGTAGTCATGCTCACTACTCAGGTCGAGAGAGGACGTGTATGTATATCTTGATCTTTGACATTGTAACTGTGATGGTTTTATTTTAACAAAGGATCTATTAATTGTAATCAATCTTTTCTTAAATCTTCTTGAGCTTACGTCAATCGATCCCTTTCTACCACAGGTGAAGTGCCATCAGTACTGGCCGAACCCCTCAGGTAGCGCTACATACGGCGGCTTTCAGGTTTCCTGCCAGACTGAGGAAGGAAACTCTGCTTTCTTGGTTAGGGATATGATTCTTACTCACATTGAGGTGAGTTGTATTACAGATTTGCATGTGAGCAGTCTGTGAGTATATTCTTAATTTGACTTGAACTATGCAATGTTGCGGTTCTTGATAAAGTTACCAAATTTATGTTTTGATAGTTCACCTAAAAATAAAAATTTGTCATTTACTCACCTTCATGTCATTCTGTATGACTTTTTTGTTCTGTGGAACACACAAAAAAGGATATTCTGAAGAAAGTTGGTAAGCAGTTTTGCTACCCATTGTATGGACAAAAAACATCAAAATATCTTTTATGTTCTACAGACAAAATAAAGTTTTGTAATGACATAAGGGTGAGTAAATGATAACACTATTTTCATTGTTGGGCACTTGGCAAATGTTAATTTTGAACTCCAGGATCTTGTTTGCAGCGTTTCGTTTGTCATGATCCCATTATAACAGTGTCATTTTGTGTTTGTTGCTTTGTTGTGTGTACTTCTAGAGTGGGGAAAGCAGGGAATTGACCCAAATCCAGTACCTGGCATGGCCTGATCATGGTGTACCAGATGACTCAACGGACTTCTTGGATTTCGTTGCTCTGGTCCGAAGTAAACGAGCTGGGAAGGACGAGCCTGTTGTGGTCCATTGCAGGTCATTCATATGTCTATATCACAAAGTAGTTTCTAAATGTAGTTATCCAAAGTGAATTACAGTGTAATCAAGTGTTGGCTTACCATTTCCCCTTTTTATCCCTCCCCTTCGCCCTCTTCCATATCCCAGCGCTGGGATTGGTCGGACGGGAGTGCTCATCACCATGGAGACGGCAATGTGTCAGATGGAGTGCGGCCAGCCGGTGTATCCATTAGAAATTGTGAGAACTATGCGGGATCAGAGGGCCATGATGATTCAGACTCCTGTAAGTCCTGCCCACCTTCTTTCTTCCTGTCATTGCCTCCATCAGTCAACTATTGGGGGTTTGTTTTTGGCTTTCTGCCGTCAGTTGTTAGGAAGAGGCGGAATACTACACAGCTAATGATGACATGTTAAATAAACAACAAAAAATTTATTTGTGACATTTTCACTCACATGTAAAATGCAGCAGCTCCACATATATAGAAGAAAGAGAGTTGCTGTAGCAGGGGGGTCTTGTCTAGGCTGGGACTCCCAGAGCCTGAGACCATTGTCTCAGGCTCTGGGAGTCCCAGCCTAGACAAGACCCCCTGCTACAGCAAGCTGTGATGCCCCTGCTACATGCAGCTGTGATTCCAGCATGATCTGTTGTATTTTAATGAGGCCTGTCTGCCCAGAGGCTGCTGACCATGAGACCTAACTAATTAGACAGCAGGAAGGAGAAAGGGCTGATGCTCAGTGAAAACACTTGTGCACTACATGCCCTCTCTGTTCTTTTCATTAGGGGTGTTACTAAGGCATCACGTTTTCTATTGGTCATCTACTACCATTCAAATGTTTGTGGTCAGTAAATAGTTTTTGAAAGAAATTAATACTTTTATTCAGCAAGGATACATTTAAGTGATCAAATATTTTAAATTGTAATGTATAACAATATTATTGTTTTTGCGACTTTTATTTTTTGATCAAATAACTGCAGCCTTGATGTGCATAAGAGACTGCTTTCAAAAACATTTGTACATCATTTTTGTTTTTATTATTTTGAACATGTATAGGAGAGATCCGCTGTTTCTTCTCTGGCTTCACTTGGTGAATGATTTTGAAGGATGGACCTGATCTTTTTTTACTTTAATTTCTTCCTGTCCACATCTTATTATCTGCTTCTTAACATGCAAAAATGTCTTTTGGTTTGTTCCATGGTGGTTTTATGTGCGTTCTCCCGGCTCTTTCTCTCACTCACAGACACTATGAATTATGTTCTCATCCCAGTTTCTCATACTGCAATCACATTTGGCTGCTCTTGCATGATAGACTGACACGTCTTCCATTCACCATGACTTCCCCTCTGTTCTGTCTTCTCAGAGCCAGTTCAAGTTTGTGTGTGAGGCCATACTGAAGGTTTACGAGGAGGGCCTGGTGAAACCGCTCGTGTCCACGCTGTACGAATCCAACTAATGCAATGCCAGCTTTTCCCGAAAATGATGGTGAAATTCACTTCTTCACATGGTGGTATCACAGCTCCGTGTCAGAGCGATGGAGAAGTATATCGAGCCAGGAACACAGGACATAAACCAAGCACTGCTGCACTTTACGATGGCAAAGAGACCATATGCCAGGCTTCAACGAGGAGAGAAAAAATGAACAAAGGTGAATTAGGTACTTGTTGGGACTTTGAGTGTTCAGGGTTTTAACAGATATATATGTTAATAATGAATATAGTGGAGATTGCTGGTGCCATATGTGTGTAAGGGCAGGCCCGTGAATGAATGAGTGTTTTTATATGTGGTCACCTCTTATTTGGAGACGAACAACACCCACAAATCAATTCACATCCAGGCCTGTGCTGCAGATGAACATTTGTATTTTTATTAGAAATATTTATTGTTTTAGTTTCAATATTGAGCCCTGCTCATTCAACATAAGAAACTACTTACAAAACGTTTTTCTTACGACAATGATAATTTTTCCTGTTTGCTTTGTTCTCCTTTTTTGGCGCAGATTGAAAATCATTTTTATTTATTTTTCCTGTCAAACTGAAATGCTGTCAACAAGGACTTTGAAGCACTTTGCAGCACAGCTGTGATGCAAGATATCAGTTTGGTCTCTCAAGCAGAAGTTAAAAGAAAATTTCCAAACCCATATGATGCTCTTTCATAGGTGGAGTGCAAAAGATGTTTTGAAAAATGTTGGTGCTGCTCTTTTCAATACAGTACAGTGAAAGCCTACAAGATTAAAAAATACCATAATATTCACTATATTCCAAATCTTCTGAAATCAAACAATAGCTTTGTGTGAGGAAAAAAACAGAAATGTAACTTTAATTGCTAAACATATTCCTCCCAGGTATTATTTCCTCAACTTGACACAGTTATGAAATACAAGAACCAGTGAGACTGTAGAATAATAAATTCAGGGCCACCAACCCACAGAAATGAACATATAGCAGATTCCTTTAAAATTAGATTGATTATTATTTTTATACACTCCTCTGGTGTTGTATTATAAGAAGACTGTCATTTAGAAATTTGATCTGCCCAGAGGCAAACATTCCCTGAAAGAATAAACTCCGTCCTTACTATTTAAAATCAGATATTCGATTAAAAGGTTTAGTATCCCCTGTAGGTAATGTAACGGCTATGTGTTGCAAACAAGAACTGCTTTTTGTGTTGTTGTTAAATCTAAATGTTACACACCATAGTGTGTCAAATGCAGTACCGTGTTGGAGGATCAAATTGGAGTTTGTTTATGGTTTTATTTATTGTAGCAGACTGCACCCGCAAATTAATCCCGCAAGCTAAGAGTGTGTCCAGTATGTGTGTTGTTGTGTTAGTACTGTATGTTTCTGATGTCTGTATGTGCAAGTGTGTTTTATAGTACTGTTAGTGTGAATGTGAGAGCCCAAATCACATGTTTAGGGTTGATCTAGGCCTGGTTCAACACATTAGAGCTGGTGTCTGGTTCAGGCTGTCTGATTTTTAGTTTATTTAATTGAGCCCTAGCCCTAGTAGAAGCCATCATATTAACATTGTTAAACTCTCAAATAAAATTTTTGACCCATTGCCCAGTTTCACAGGACATCTCTAGTTGAATGCCGAGTTGAATCCATGCCTGTACTCTTTGTAAGTTACTGTCTACTTTTACAGTCAATCATATGATGTTTCTTTGTGGTCATAATTGCTGGAGAACCTTGGTTTTAGGACCAAAAATTCCATTCTGTGCTCAACAGGTTACAGGTTTTACCAAAAGACATTTATAACAGGAATATGGCATGGAAATGGGAGAAACTACATGCCTCCTTGTGGGACAGCACTTTTTCAACAAAGATGTACAATTGTAGACTGGTGTTAATGTTTTATTTGCTGCAAAAAACAGGAAGGTCAAGTTGTGCCACTTGTCCATTTTTATGAAAATATTATAGTGTACATACAATGTTGTATATTAAAAAGAAAATCTTTAAAATAAAGTAAGGTGTGTGATCTGGGTTGTTTTTGTATATGATATATATTGTTTTTAATTACATTGTACGTTTGAATTCCTTCTTTGAAGATATTGGCAGGGAGGAAAGTTTTTGAAGCTGCAGCAGTTTCAAGCCCTCAGTAAACCAGTGGGTGGTGCTGTTGGGGGAAAAATAAATAAACAAATACAGAGCACCTTTAAGCACCTGACGTTTTGAGGGCTGAAAAAAAGAACTAGAAAATAAGGATATTTTGCTGGCCCAGATGAGCACGTAGTTTAGATTTACCCAAGCCTTTATATTTTTAGAAATTTTTCATATTTTTTATATGCCACATTTAAATATGTTTGGCCTTGTGTAGGTGTGTTTACGTGCGTTTTCTTTACAAAAACAAGTTATAATTCGTTTTTTATTTGAATTATATCTTCAGATTGTATCATTTTAATCCATTTTATGAAATCATATTATTTGCAATCTAACCGATGCTTCAAATAAAAAGATAAAACGACTAGGCAAATGATGGTATGTATGTATGTGTGTGTGTATATATATATATGTATATATATATATATATATATATACACACACACACACATACACACACACACACACA